ACCCGTTTTGTATTCAATGAGGCTTTGGATTTCTAGAAAGTCTTTCTTTAGAAGTACCCAGTGAGTGGTGGCTATAGAGAGTTCATAATTTATTCATAAACTTAATATACAGTTTGCACTCTCTCTCTCTCCCCCAACCCCCTCCCTGTCACTCTCTCTGAAATGCAATGGGGAAAAATATCCTTGAGTGAGGATTAAAAAAATAATAAAAATAAAAACTGACAAATGCAGGTTAAAATGAAGGGAGGGCGAGTTACTAGGATGATTCTCCCCTGATTATCCGTGTTCTGAAGCAAACACAAAAAGGGCCCTAAAATACGGACCTTCTGGACACCAGCTTTCAGTTACCCACCCCGCTGGAAAATGCAGACCCTGACAATTCTGTAAGCTCCCAGAAACAGAACTCTTCTCAGGAGAACCCAAGTGTAAATCCCTAAAATTGTATGAGCTTTTTCTGAGGAATGAATGAGCCAAAGGCTTTCAATAGATCTTCAAAAGCTTTCTTGACCCAATAAAGTTATAAAGTCTTGAAGAAGGGACCTAAAAAGAAAATCCAAATCCTAAACTTTAGAATTCTTAGTGAATAAGAATTAAGAGCTAATGGTCCTTAAATGAAGGCTGTTTTGTCCCCCAGGAGACATTTGGCAATGTTCAGAGACATTTTTGGTTGTCATTGCCTGGGAGGATGTTACTGAGATCTAGTGGATAGAGGCCAGGGATGCTACTAACATCCTACAGTGGAGTTTGCAGTCCCTTTAAGATTCTGTATGTTTTTAAAATGTACATTTATTAATAAATTGCTGTGTGTACTAAACATGCATCTTTCCATATATAGAGAGAGACATATATAGTACACACCTATACATAGTGTACATGCACTTCTATAAGCACATTATTGTTGGATGTGAAACAACTACACTGAATAGAGGAAAGGATTTTTTAAAGTAGATTCTGATTGTACCCACTCTGTAAACCCTCACACATATCTCTTTTGTTTTTCTTAATCCTCACCTGAGGATATTTTTTCCATTGCTTTTCAGAGACAGTGGAAGGGAGAGAGAGAGAGAAACATCGATGCAGCTGGGGATATGGCTGCTTGGCCAGAATAGGTCCCTGGACCCTTCCGTCCATGGGACGATGCTCTAAGCACTGAGCCAATCTGGCTAGGGCTCACACACATCGTCAAGGCTCCGTGAAGTCACTGCCTCCTTTATGAACATTCCTTGATACTCTGTCAGAATTAATCTAATTTCATTTCTGGATTCTCTTGGTACCTTATCTGATCCTCTCTTAAAATGTTTTTTACTATCCATCTTAGTATCATAATTTTATTTACATCTAAGTTTTATCTCCTTCACTAGACAAAATCTTCTTGAGGACAAACACTTTGACTCCTTTCGGTCATTATCTACTATAAAGTTTCCTAACAGATACATCCATGTGAGAGCGAAACACCAATCAGCTGCCTCCTACACACCCCCATCAGGGATCAAGCCTCAAAAAGGCTATGTCACAAATATCTTTCCAGGTGAGTACCTATGAATTTTTGTTGACTTTGTCAATAGCTGCCTAGGATCTAATACTATCAACTCATTCATACACGGAGTTCCACAGTAACTCACCTAGAGGGCTCACAATTCTTCCTTGAGTTAATAGGAGGCATTCTGTGCAAATATAAATATAACAATTTTAAAAATATATATATATATCTTTATTGATTTCAGAGAGAGGAAAGGAGAGGGGGAGAGAGAGATAGAAACATCAATGATGAGAGAGTCATTGATTGACTGCACCCTGCATGCCCCCAACTGCGGATAGAGCCCTCAACCTGGGCATGTGCCCTGACCTGGAGTCAAACCCTGATTGCCTGGATCCTAGGTCCACGCTCAACCGCTGAGCCATGCCCAGCTGGGCAAAATATAACCCTTATTCCATTCTGATAGCCATTTTTGCTCCCTGTTACTTCTATTTTGACACTTTTGATCTGGTCCAGTCAATTCTATGGACCACTTTGGATCAGAACTTGGTGATGATTTGGTGGTGGTGATGATGATTCCAAGGAATTAAGAGTGTGGTAGAGGTGTCGACAGAGGAGAAAATAGACTATCAAATAACACTAAGAGTCAAGTGTGTAACTTCCCTTGGAGAATAGACAGAATTCTTCTTTGAACTGCATCGTTCTACATAAGAATTCCATTTAATAATTACCACACTATAATAAGCCTTGCATGGACCTAGATGAAGATACTGCTTTCTTCTGTTAAATGCTTTTTCCACAGAAGAAATAAATGGTGCATGGACAGAATGGCATCTCCCTCACAGGTTTCTATAAAAGTATAGAACTGCTTTTCTCCCAGATCTAAATTTGGCTGTCTTTTAAAAACAGAGTAGGAGGTGAAAACAGCTTGCTCTCCCCACCCGATTTACTAGTTATATTGAACATCTCAAATTACTCACTTAGGCTTTATAAATCAAGTTTCACCTGTTTCCCAAGGAGGTGGGCGGTTCTTTTTTTTTTTTTTTTTTTTT